TTGAATCTTAATTTGACTATAAAGAGGTCTTGTTTTTGATTCACATTAGTCATTAGAATACTTACTTGAGAGACCGCCTTCTGCCGATTACCTTCCACAGACCCATTCGATCCCACAGATTAGGCCTCCTCCGTATTCCATCTGCCGGCTAATGTCGGCTGGCGGCTACTCGGAGGAGGGCCTTCTCTGTGGCTGCCCCGGCCCTTTGGAACGAGCTCCCTCCCCGTGGAGATTCGGACCCTCTCCACCCTTCGGGCCTTCTGGACAGCCGTGAAGACCTGGCTGTCCCAGCAAGCCTGGGGTTGAGTCCCCCCCTACTCGAATTTGCTGTGTCTGTTGTGCTTTTAAATTGTTCATATTGTCTGATTGTTTTTGTCTTACTTTTTGTAATTTCCCCTCCCTTGGCTTTTGTTCAGCCGCCCTTCGGAGTCCCTTCGGGGAATAGGGCGGCCTACAAATTGAATAAACTCCAAACTCCAAACTAAATACTGTACAGAGTTGATTGTATTCATTATCAAGATTTATGTGTATGTCTAGTGTGAAATCTGATAGCAAGATCTGCCTGTTCCTACTCATAGTACTAATGGAAGAAATCCGATACTTCAATAGCTTTAATAATGATTACAGATCCCTTTGAAACCCATTAAGTATACATCAAATCACCTGTGCCTTATCAGGACCAGGTTTTCAGCAAGTGGACCAGATGGGCCAGTATGTTCAGCTGCCTGGATCAAGATAGACCAGGTAGATCAGCAAGTAGGGCAGAGTCTACTATAATCAGCGGCCCCTTTACCAGTTTTGGCCCAAGATTAGTCAGCTGCTGGAACAGCAACTTTCTGATGCTGTGTGCTCATCTTCTGCTACCTGATAAATATGGTGGGAATCCTGACAAATTTGCTACCTAGAAATTTCTATAGATTTCTATAAACGTCAAAAATTTTCCATGAATCAGTCTCAGATGTTATATGCAATTAGTCTAATAATGAAAGACAAAAAATAGCCATAGTTGCAAAATTGGCACCTCCCATTTTAGTGCAGAACAACATAAGCTTGGACAATTACATCAATTTTATGACACTGATAAGGGCTAACTTTAATGATGCAATCAAACAAGAGGCTCCCAGTTGTGAAAACTATCATCTCTGACAGAGTAAGTGCCAGGTGAGAGAATACCACTGACTTTATGCTGTTAACTCAGGATTCAACTATAATGAAAGAACCTTAAGAGACCATTTAAAAGAGGAATTGTCAGGTGAAATATGGGATTCATTTATCAGGACGTTTGAGGATTTCTAGATCTGTTTGGCTATAGATGGGAGACTTAAGTTGTGATAAGAGTACAAGAGGGTTAAAGAAGATGTCACTGTTCTTCTTACTGTGTTTCCTCCATCATCCCCATTCACATGTATATACCACAGATTTGAGAAGTTGAATCCATGAAGCTGAGAACTGACTTTCATCATCTGTCTGAGAAAACTTGCATTGAGCCACAAAAGGCTTACATTTTTTATTATGAAGAATCTGACAATGTAATGCCGTCCAAAGCCTCTTTCCTTCCAGACCATCAATAGAAGAATGTATTGGGTTCAAATGAATAATCCACATATTCATTAGGATAATGAAACCTTTGCTTCTTTGTCACACAAAGTCCACAGCCAGCAAGGCTTCAAATATCCATGCAATCTGTTCCACAATAGTCTTGCTTGGCAAAAAAAAAAGCAAAGAGGAAAGTGCAACACCCACCCACCCCCATTTGTTCTCATTCCTGAAAATCAGAGCCCCATGAAAAATCACAATTTGATATCAAATATAGAGATAGCATACCTAAAAGTATTTATTGATGAAGAGTTTACAGAAAGGCTTCATTTCCCCATCTTCTTCCTTCCTCCTTCCAATGTTTATATCATTTTTATTAATAAGGATAGTTTCCCATATATTTGTCCTTGATTATTGGCTTTAAACTCTATAATAATTAAGAATAATTATCTTCTTCACCTTATTTGACTGAAGGAAGTTAACATTTTAACTCAAGGAGATAAATGTTTAGCTGATTTTTATTCTTATTACTTGAACAGTGAGAGTTGAATATGTGAAGTCGTCGGCTACATAAATTGAACAAAGAAATAAACAGCCAGCAATGTTGTATGGATTTGTTAAATGTACCATCAGTCTTCATGTAATTTATGACCAATTTTCATAAATTTTGGGTGAGTTTTAATAGTGTGTTTGGAAAGTTTGCTCATTGATTCTGAGAATCTTGCTGTCAATACTGGAGCATTCAGGTAATTTTTCAGTGGCTTTGTGATTACAGTCTCTACTATAAATTAAAGGCTTTGATATACCTGTGCTGGATTATTTGGGCTACTAAAGTTCATCAAAACAAATCCAGATGAACCTGGCTATGTAGAGCTCATTATACTTTGGAAGCAAATGTCTCTTCGCTGTCAAGATCAAGAAAGCAGCAAAAGATCCATTAAGTAGAATAAATGGGAGGAAAAAACTTAGAATTTAAACCAGGAACAAAGTGTGTGTGTGTGTGTGTGTGCGTGATCTATAACAATTTCTGTTTTCTGTAGCATGTAAATTATATGTATATTGCTTTTTGTTTACAATAAAAAAAACTTCTTTAACTATGTCATATATGTAAGGCTTCTCTTATACCAGATTTCTTAATATTGGGTTAAGTTTCTAGAATATCAAGTTTTATTCCTGCTTATTGTGAAGTCCCGGAAAAGAATATTCTGAAGTTAGTTGATAAGAATTCTGTTTGTTTATACTTCATGTTACACATTTTATTACCATAGAACTATCATGTTGTGATGCGTTACTAAAATTAAACTAACATTTATTGATAAATTTAATATTTACTTAGTTACTATGTCATTAGTGGTATATTTGAGTCAATTAGTTTATTGTTTACATAACATGGATAGAATTTAAAATGAAATATATATATATATATATATACCTTGGTTCTTCACAGATGGTACTAGACAGGAAGAAGCCGAAGAGGAACTTAGTGAGGAAGAGCATTGGTTTGGGAACTCTTCAGAGACCCCATCAGAAGCATCTTATGGAGAAGTCCAGGAGAACTTCAAATTATCCTTTGAGGACAGGATCCAAGAACAATCCACATCTCCAGACACTTCTTTGGGGAGCGGAACTCCTAGTAGCAACACATTGGAATTGGTGGCTGTTGAGAATGAGGCCATAAGAGATGTATTACAGAACAGGGAACATCTCTCTTCTAGCGTATCTTCTTCTATCTGTGATGATGATAATCCTGGGTCAAACAAGCCATTGAGTAGTAATTTGAGACGTCTGCTGGAGGCTGGTTCTCTCAAGCTAGACACTACTATCACAGTTAATGGCCGGGTTGAGTCCCCAGTAAATCTTGGCTCAAATATCTCTTTTTCTCCAGCTACACATCATGCCCAGCAGCTAAGTGTCCTTGCAAGAAAGCTAGCTGAAAAACAGGAACAAAACGATCAGTATGGCCCAAACACAGGTTTCATATGGAATCAAGGCAAATGGTTGCCTAACTCAATGCCCTCTTGCAGCTTGTCTCCAGATTCAGCAATCCTAAAATTGAAAGCCGCTGCCAATGCAGTCCTTCAAGACAAGTCTCTTTCTCGGACTGAAGATCCAACAATAAGGTTTGAAACCTTCCCTTCACCATTTAGTTCTCAATCAGCAAGCTCCACCTTAGCTGCGTTATCAAAGAAGGTCAGTGAAAGAAGCATGACTCCTGGGCAGGACCATTCACCTCCCGCAAATTCTTTCCTTTCTCTCACCTCAATGACTTCTTCAGCAGCTCTACTCAAGGAGGTGGCTGCAAGAGCTGCAGGCAGCCTTTTGGCTGAAAAGAAAAAGTCACTGATTGTAGAAGATCCCCTGCAGCTTTCAGACATGAAGCAAGAGAAATTAATTCCACCACAGTCTTTGGAACTATTGTTACTCCCAGCCCCTAAAGGAAGAGCTTCTAAAACCACAAATTCAGGTAGGAGTTCTCATTTTGCTCTAAGTTCTCTATACTTCTTCATCTCTGTTTCATTTACATTATACAGAAAATATAATTAAACAGAAAACAGCAAAAATACTGTATTCACAACAAACACTCCAGCATCTTGATGCCTGAAAGGGAACTATTGTTTCAAATATTTTTTGTATTATGGACAAAAAACGTATCAGGAAAATCCTGTATGAAATTTAATAGGTGAATTCAAATAACTTTTTATGTTTTACAGTACAGAATATTATGCTTTAAAATATTTTCATCACAAAGAGACGATTTATCAGATTGTTTTGCCCTAACAGCATGCTATTTCTGCTTTACTTTCTCACACTTACATGGTTTTCTACAAAGCATTGTGCCTAAAACCATGCTTGCCACTCATGAAGCTTGCAAACATACTAGGCCATGTCCATCATTGTCTGCCACACTGCATTTTTGACCATTTGAATTTTCCAAGTGAGCTTCAAGTACTGCTATGTAGTGTATCAACTGCCTAAGCAGCCTTTCAATCCAGAAAGGGCATAACTGCTACAAAAATGATGATGTACAAAGGCTTTCTTTTTTATAAATTTCATTGAAAGGTTTTTACATAAATAAAAGGTAAACAGGTAAAGATAAAAGAAAAAATGCTGAAAACCAGAGAGAGATAAAAAAGAAAAATTAAAGGAGTAGCTTCTGATCATCTTTACAGCAGTTAGAAATAAACATTCTATCATTCCCCCTCCATTAGAACTACATTATATACCCCCCCCCCACATTCAATGCATTTTAAATCCAGAAATAATCAGCTCATTTTCTTTCCATTTTCAGCAAAAATGTCCACAAAAAAAATTCTAGTATTTTATAAAATACTTATTGTTTTGTTCCTAATCTAACAGTCCACTTCTCCATTGTGGGAACTTCTGTATCTTTGTACATATAGGAGCATGTATGTAAAGCCAGTTTTCCACGAGTTCTTTCTAATTGTCTGCCCATAAATCCTAATTTAAAAATATGGTTTCATATGATACTAATTTTTATAAATTTATTGCATCATTGTATGCATTTGTTTCCAGTACTTTTTTTTTGCTTTTTCACATGTCCACCATGCATGATAAAATGTCCCTTCATGTTTCATATTTCCAAAATAATTAGTCCCTTTATACATTTGGGAAAATTTCTCCGATGACCTGTATCTCTGGTTCATCATTCTATAACAATTCTCTTTTAAATTATAGGACAATATTAATTCTAAACTTTTTAACCACTTCCTCTCTTGTTAAAACCAAAGTTCTTCCCCATGTTGTCATACACTCTTGAACCTATTTTTTCTTTAGCAATCATGTACTCAACATTTATACATAATTCATTTTCAAATTTCTATTTTATGATATATATACAGTATCTGGCATTTTTAAATATATATTAATATTTCTCTTAATTGTGCATGTGAAAACCATTGACAATTAAATCCCCCTGCAGTCAATTATTTTCTCAATTTCCGCTTATGTTCTCCATTTTCCTGTACTAGCAAATCTTAATTAACTATTAACTATTAACTATTAACTATAAAAATTAACTATTTTCCTTTCCCGTTGTCTCTGTACAATAAAATACTTCTTGTGCTGATGCACTTAAACTTATATATTGCTCTATAGTGCTTTACAGCACTCTGAGCGGTTTACAGCGTTGACATATTGTCCCCAACAATCTGGGTTGTCATTTTGCTCACCCCAGAATGATGGAAGGCTGAGTCAACCTTGAGCTGTCAAGATCAAACTCCAAACTGTGGGCAGAGTTAGCCTGAAATACTGCATTCTAACCTCTGTGCCACCAGGGCTCTTGTCGGCTTCCTCAAGAGTTACCAACTCAAACTCATCCCAGGTCACTTCACAAGTTGGAGCTGTTAGTGAACCTGACTAAGAGTTGCTCTAAGCAATTTTATCTGCCAGATATTCAGAATATATCGTAAATAGTCCTACAGATGATTTTCTGACCTGTCTTTTCCAACACGGACTGAGTTAACCTAAATAGGGTTATTGGATAGCTATTCCCATATGCATTACGTGTGGAGAAATACTTGACTTTTTGTGCCCTTATTGCCATGAGATAATTCCAGATGTTTGATCAGACTAGCTCCCAATCTTCTTCCAGGGATGATTAAGCATTTCTTTTGGTGCTTCATCTCCTGGAGCTCCTCAGTTAACCAAGAGCCACCCACCCATTCCAAGCAGCAGTTAAGTGTTGGCTAAACTATCCATTACATCTTCAGGAAATCCCTTAACTGCCTCTGGGCCCATCAGTTGTCTGGGGCATGCCAATCATTGGCTTTATCTCAGAGGGGTGAGGTGTATGATATACCTTTAAAAACGAGATACCTGCCAGCGTCTCAAATAGAAATACAGACCATGTTCATGGCAAAGATGAATTATGGTATCATCGTACTAAAGGGGAAAATAGAATTTTGTAGAGTATGCTCTATAGAATCCATTTATCTCATTTTACTCTGAATAATACTCCCTTTTTAAGTAGAAGGTAAAACTGCTAAGAAGTAATGAATAAATGGAATAATAATATAATAATAAATAATGGAAAAAGGTGAACATATTCTAATGTCTTCCATAAAGTATGAATTTATTCTTCCTTATGATTCAGATTGTTTAACATTTAATTGTTTAACATTGTTCTCATAAAAGTTTAGATATACTATTTGGTGCTATTGTGAAAAGGGGAAATTTTAAAGATATTTCTCCAGAATTTATTTTTTAAAGGTAGTATGCTGATTACACAAAGAAATGATTTTTGAGCATTGCCAGTTTCTGTCTGGTCTGCTATACAAACATTTTAATAACCATAACTTTTTTTCCAAGATTAGCAAGAAAGTGGATTGCCACAGACTTCTGGACATCCTGCATAAATCTTGGAAAAACATGTATGAAAGTAATAAAATCTGACATCCTGCAGTGAAATCTGATAATCCATATTGACAATATGAAACAGTACCATCCATAATGTATAATACATGTAATGTTTTTACCCTGTTAAGATGACTTTATACAGGCTAAAAGTAATAAATAAAACAAAATATAATCAAACATAGTGGAAAAAGAAGGTCAACCAAAGCATATGGCATTCCAGGTACTATGAGATTCCCATTATCTCTCAGGATTATTCTAAATTCTAAAAAGGGTTAATGAAAATTCAAGAACTTCTGAAAGACTACTTTTTACTCATACAAAAAGGAATATTTCATGATTCATAAGATAACCATTAAGAATTGGAATAGCTTTAATTAAAAATCAATTTTTAAATGCAAACTGTCCACATTATGCTACTTGCACAAAGACCCAAACAGCTTTCAGAGATAACAAGATTGTGCCCCTGGCCCCTTCCAAATTGTTCACTGTTCCACCTGTTGCAATTATTTCCACATTTGCATAAGCAGTGGCACTCAAGTCAACAGGAAGTCATGTCACGAGCATAGCTGAAGAGAGCGTTTGTTGCTCTTTTAAAACCACGTTTCCTTTCACTTTAGCAGGGTATTAGGAGGGTTTTATTCGTTTTTTGTATATTTTGTGTTTTTTACTCATAAAAAATTGAAAATGTTTTTGGAAAAATATATGGAAGAATTGGAACTTATGATTTAAGAATTATTGTCTGTAAAAGAGGTGATATGCTGCTGTTGAAACACATAATGCTCTGTAACAGGCAATCTGTTACTAAGATATACAACTTGAAGGAAAATGTCATACATATGCATTTATTGGAGAAAACTGTTAGAAACTGAACTGGAAGGCGGTGGGCCTCATAGGCCCTGACAATCACTCGTCTTAGCCACCTTCCAGTGGTAGACGGGGACACCCTAGCCCCCAAGGAGGAAGGCTGAAAAGAGACAAAGAGAGCCTCCGATCTACGGAAAGGATCTGTCCTTTTTAGGTAGATTCTTAGGGCCCTATGGACATCTAACTTATGCCTCCCTATCCCTAGATGGCCCCAGACAGACGTCCGGAAGGACCACCTCCTGAAATCTGTGGAAAAGGGAATTGACCTTTGGTAGGAAGGTTGTATCCAAACATAGGACCACTTTGTTATCATGAAAGGTGCAAAGGTCAGACCAGGAAGATAGTGCTCCGAGCTCTGAGATGCGCCAGGCTGAGGTGACCGCCATTAAGAAGGCCACCTTAAGTGTGAGGAACTGAAGTGAGGCAGAACTAAGTGGTTCAAATGGTTCGCCCACTAGGGCCTGCAGAACTGTAGGGAGATCCCAGGAGGGAAATATATGAACCACCGGGGGCTGCAGGTTGGAAGCCTCTTTTAGGATATGTCTGACGACTGGCTGCTGGGCCAAGGGAGGAAGATGACTGTCCTCTAGGACCACGATATGGCCTGCACAATGATATGCTGCATGTGTTCAGGAATGTCCTGCATAAAATCCCCAGGAGGAGATTCATCCCTAGGGACTAGGGGCCCCTGGGGAGCCAAAGGGACATGTGGGACCATATCAGCCATAGTAACTGTGGAACAGCCAAAAGGATCCCCCTGCAGCTCCCCCATATCTCTCCCAGACAGGGGGGGATAAAGAAATTTCTGTTTCCCTCCTGGAACATGGGGTGGGGAGGAGGAGAAGAAGCCGCCTGCCCCCTATTGGGAGACCTGGACTGATACTGTGTGCTGCAATGGCCAACTGTCTCTCATCCCTGGCTACTCTCTTCTCCTGGGCCTTCTGCCTGCGTTGTTCCGTCCCTCTCCACTGCTCTGGATTGGTGCTGAACAGCAGGCGCCCTGCCTCTCTTGCTCTTGGCCTTAGCCTTCCTCGGAGGGCTGCACTGGCTCTGGGCACTAGAGGGACCTGCCTCCTTTGCAGGGCTGTTGTTGGCCATGACCCTGTCTAACTCTCCCATTCACGGCCCTCTACGCAGCTACGGTACTCCAAACAGTGATTCAGGACTGTGGCAGCCTTCCGCATCTCTATCTCCTCGCAATTGGTCTCCTCAGCAAGTTCAAAG